ATGCAAGAACTATAAGAACTATCATAAAAGATTTGGTTATCCCAGGCAGCAAATTTTGGGGATGTTTTATAAGCAACAATGAGAGTGATCATGAAAATAGTAGCATTTTTCCTTACTTGAGCAATGAATTTTGTCCCTCGAGGTAGTAATCCTCAGGAGAAGTAAGAGCTAGGTCTGCAAACAATGAGAACATAGTAAGCATACATCAAGCACTGATGTTATCGCAGTCAATAAACCAGAGAGCAAAAGCAACAGGATCCCACATTCTCTGGATGATTGCACGTGTGCCACCTTTTGACAAAAACCAATCAGAGAAGCTTATCTGCAAGAAGCAAATGAAAACAATGTAACATTAAATTTTTAAAAGAAAGCAAGAGTACATAAATCTAGCTGTGGGGATTCTATTAGTAAATGACTAGATGACAAAGCAAAAACATCAACAGAAAATATTTATGTTTTTTAGAGTTGAAAATTAGCAGAGGTAAAGAACTCGCCATTCAATAACCAAACTTCAAAATGAAATGCAACTCAGCCTTCAAAAATGAACAGAAGATGAGATAATAGGTTAGCTTACATTATCCAAATTTCTTATATCCTTCATTGCTCCATCTGGATTTTTGCAAGAGGACTTAGGGCAAGAGCCAGAGCATTTCTTGCTTTATCATAAGTCTGCAAAGGAACAATATTTGAGGAAAAACACAAGAAAAGACTGTTTCATAATATGTATGCAGATAAACTGTGGAAGATTTACAGGTGTCTAATAACAGTATTGTCACAACACTTGATGACCTCAACAAACATTGACAAAGGGCACTCATTCCCAAAGCTTAGAGAAACTAGCATGGTAAAATATGCTTCTTAATTAATCCTTTTCCCATACTTGTCAATTGTTAGATTTGTAAGCTTTACCTTGAGTTAATTTGTAGACAAAAATGCACGGACCCCATATACTGGAGCGCCAACTTGAAATCAAAAATCAAGTTCTGCATTTAAAATCAAAACTAAAACTTAATAAAAAATAAGGTAGACCAGAATGGACCATTCATACTCTTAGTAACGCACACATGGCTACCAAAAACCAAAATTTTGAAATCAACTCCAGTGAGAAACACAGTATCAAACTGAAATTAGTTTAAGCATAAATCACTGCCAATTTCACCCCCCTTGTTAACAAAAGTGTGTGTATGATCCTTCACAACGTGATTTTTATCTACACCAACCTGGAACAAAGTGAAAATCCAAGAAAATTTGTCACAGACCAGGTAAACAGTGCAAATAACTTCTAAAAAAATTAAGAATTGACTTGAAAAATGAAAATCAATACATGACT